TGAGTCTCACTGGGTCCGAGATTGGTCTTAATCTCAGGTATAATATCTGGACCACCTTTATTGTGCTCAATGAGAATTTGTCTAAATTGTGCTAGCTCCTTTCTCACTATATCTAGTGCCTCGGTAGCTGTCCCTTCCTGTGGTGCAGGTGTGTCTAGTATAGACTTGGTCTTCAGTAGTGACAGGGCCCTCTTACTGAAACTGTATAGTTCCTTTATAACTTCAAACATATCCGGCTTGCTATTCCCTGTGGGTAAGTCTAAAGAATCTGCAATTATAGTATCCAACTTCTTCTTACCTTTTAAACTGCCGTTTAACGTTTCTAACTCCTTTTCCATCTTGTCATTTTTTTTTTTTTTTTTTTTTTTTTTTTTTTTTTAGAGAGGCTGGGCCTGGTTGGCCCACGAGAGGATAGCATATGAATGCTTTGCCTACCTCTGGGGTATGGCAGTCCTGTGGGAGGATGCCAGTGGAATCAAGATGTGTAATCAAGGATGATGGTAAGTGTTGTGGGGTGTGTCATGGATAAACGCTTAAGTGGTGGTTGAGTGTGGAAGAGAGAGGCGAAATAAGACGGCGTTAAAATAGTCGCTATGTTACACCTGTCTGGTCCAACTCCTCTGGCACCACTAAGCGTTTAGTGTGGTTTGTAAAGTTGACAATGGTGGAAATGTGTTGGTTGTCGAATATGTCATTGACAGAGAGGTAGTAGTCCCGGAAATATTGACCTCTTATTTGGGCAATAGCCGGGCACTGTCCGAGAAAGTGTGAGACAGTCTCCTCTTCGTCGCCGCATTTAGGACAAGCACTTGTGTCTGATTTGCGAATGGTGTGTAGGTGTTTGTTGAGGCCACAATGTCCCGTGATGAGGTGCACTGCAGTTCTATAATTTTGTCTGTTGTTACTGAGTGTAGTGTTGAGATTTTTGATGATGTTGATCCATCTTGTCATAGACATAGTGATAACCATTGCTGTAAAGGATTTGAGACCTCTCTACTTTAACTCAAACCAAATAAATATAGTGGTAAGTGCTGAAAAGTACTTGATAACCCACTAAAAGCTGTTGGTCGTCGTTTAAAACGCAGTAAAAACCTCAAATTATTTGTTATATAGTAGCGTTGAAAGTATTAAAACTTTTTTGAAAATATCCTTAACATTTTTTAAATTATATATACTAGTTTAGCTCTTTCTAGTCCCCTGCTACACGGCATGTAAACAGGGATTGGCTAGTTAGAGGCGGTCCGTGTAGGCCTTACACTGTGCTTTCAGCAATACTCATAGTACATAATTACATAAATATAATACATACATAATATGTCATTTAAATCTCAAGGTTAGAGCTCGTGTTCCTCCGTCTTGGACGAGCGAGTCCAACAGCCAGACGATCGAGATATGGAAATCAGGAGTAGAGAAGACTTTCAGTCTTGATCCATCTTCTTCGTCTGTCTCGTGATCTTTGGACAACTCTGGCAAGGGACTCGAGTAATCGTGGCTCCACGTGGACTTCTGGTGGGAACATAAATAAGTAAATATGGCTTCGGTGAAGAGGTTCTCAGTAGCTGAGAGGTGTAGATCTCCTCTTTAGTAATACGAATAAATTTATTTGTGTTTCTCTGTATAAGAACAACAATTTTTTCTCTAAAAAGGAATATAACGGATACTTATGTTTTTCTGCCGATAAACTCAAAACAGCTATTACATTTAGTCTGTTTAACACTTTTGTTTGTTTTGGGGATCAGATTTTAAGGCAAACGAAAGGCATTCCCATGGGGGGGAATTCTAGTAGCCAGTTCGCTGATCTTTCGCTAGGGAAGTGTGAATTCAACTACATGACACGCCTAATCAAAGAAAAGAAGTTCGGTCTCGCTAAGCTCCTCTCAAGAAACTGCAGATATGTCGACGACCTCAACACCATGAACTTTTTGTATTTCTCTAACCTAATCACTAATCAGGTCCATTTATCCAGCTGACCTGCTTATGGAGAGGACTGGTGACGACAATAAGTTCGTAAACTATCTCGACATCAACATCTCGATGAATAACTCCGGACACGTCGCCACCAAGCTTTATAACAAACTTGATGACTTCAACTTTCCTGTGGTCATGTACACCTTTCCTAACAGTAATATTTCTCTTCTGTTGGTTATAATGTTTTTTACGGTCAGGTCCTTCGTTACTCTTCCATTATCTCTGACCTTGATTCTTTTCTGTGTTCTACCAACACCCTTTTTAGGACACTTCTTTCAAGATGTTATAATGACAGACTCCTGGTATTCTGTACAAATACAGTATACTTGATGTCAGCGACATCCTTACTTTATTTCACCAGGTCTACCTAAGGATCAATTATTCTTTGGTGGGGTTTCACTTCTGGTATTGGCTTCATTCCCGATACTTTTCCTTATTCTTTATACTTATTTTTTAAATATAGTTTAATGAGATTGGTCGGCAGCTTTCCGCTTCAATTCTGCTTTGAACTCTGCTTTCTCAGCTACTACTTTTTATAAGTTGTCAGGGTCGTGCAAGGTCATAAGTGAATTTCGGCACGTGCGGATTCACGATTTTTCTTATTCTCCGCGACAAATCGTGATTTTTGACGTTTGCCGCGCCGCGACAAATCGCGATTTTCTCAGATCCTCGCGAAAAAATCGTAATTTTTTCAGTCCTCCGCGACATTCGACAAATTGCGCATTCTCCTTTAAATCCAAGGGCCAAATATCATGTTGTTTATATAAGTATATGGAACCAATCACGACTACATCAACATGAGCCTTCCGAATGTATAAGGTACGGACTTCAGAAGACCGAATTTCGTCTCATAATGATCAGGCCGGTAGCTATACACAGGAGGAGCAAAGTGCAAAGAAACTACCACAAACTGCTACAAACTGCTACTAACTGCTACAAACTGGCACTAACTGCCACAAACTGCTACTAACTGGCACTAACTGCTACAAACTGGCACTGACTGTTACAAACTGCTACTAACTGCTGCAAACGCACGCGAATGCGTGGGCGCGATTGCAGCAGTTAGTAGCAGTTTGTAGCAGTTTCTTTGCACTTTGCTCCTCCTGTGTATAGTAGCAATAGCATGAAACGTGGAAAAAAGTGGTTTCCAGAACAACTTTAAAATGTTTTGACCTGGACAATTTTCGGTCCGAGTCATTCTCGATAGATACCTTGAAGGGCAGAAAAAAAATTGAGATTGAAATTAATCTAACTCTGGAGCTCTCTTTGAGATAAAGTGTCACCTATGCTATATTTGGTGGGGACTTACCTACCGAACCTTGTGACATTATGTTACGTCACCACTCTTCCACTCTGACTACAAGTTGTCGGCTTCGGCCGTAAGTATGCTTACTAAAGCTAACCAAGTGTAGTCAGATTCTAATCATGTCTTGATTAGATAGAGCCTTTATATAAATTATGTAAGATGTGATGACTAACACTGTGAGATAATACCAATCGTCGGCCTTTTCTAGAACCGACTTTTGGGTCTAACAAAAACGGGATGCTATTCTTTTTCTGGACGCTGCAGTTATGTAATTAAACTATCTTGCAGTTATTACGAGAATTGCCATTGAAGATTGAAGTAGAGATTTAGGTGTTTTGTTATTAGACCGGTTCATTTTACCAAAAGTTGTTCAAATAATTAGAGACCCTATCTTATTAGTTGCTCTATAGGGTCAGGAACAACAAAAAAAATTTTTTGACTCTAGTGTTTCGGATAATGTCGTCATGGGCCACGCCCATTTTTATAGCGTTTCTTATACAGGTAAAATAGGGAAAATCGCATTTTTTAACATGATAGCGTCATTTCTGTGCTTTGAGACTTTCTACTCTAATATAAATGTGATGATGGCATTTCGTTTAAACATATTTTCAAGACTCTGTGACCTCGCCCTGGCCGTGGACCACGCCCCTATTTCTTATACACATAAAAATACGAAAATCGCAGATTTTTAAATGATTGGATTGATTTAGAGCTTTGAGACTTTCTACTCGAATATAAATGTGACCCAAGCATTTCGTTTTTACATGGTTCAAAATTCCTGTGACCACGCCCTATGTGCCACACCCATATTTTTTTAACAAATTTGTACATTAATTTTATTGTTAAAAGTTATGAAAATTAAATCATACATAATTGTAATACTACTTAAAAACATCTATTGAAACTACAAAAACTTCTTCAGATCTTCTTTGGTCTTCAAAGGGAACTTCTCGTGATGCGAAGCCACCACCCTCACCAGCTCCTGCCACGAGTCCTCGTCCCTTGTGATTGCCCCGTTGAGTCGAGTGGCTAGCGCTAGAGCCCGCTCGCAGGAGTCGTTCAGGGGGACAAGATTCCGGAGACCCCGCTTCATGTCGTCGTATTGAGGTAGAAGCCACCACTCATCTTTTGATAGGAAGGTGTGAGACTCCCCAAGTAGCTGGAAGATGAGGATGGAGCGGGGTCCCACGAAGTCACCAAGGCAAGACTTCTCATTGATAGTGGGCAGCTTCGGTTTCTGGATAGGTAAAGATCGGGACGGTAGTTTTCCTATCTTAGCGGCAAGGACTTCTTTCTTCTCGTCCGGGACTTTATCTGAGAAGAGTGCAATGGGAATCAACTCTTCTGATAGGTACCAGGTGTGTCGCTGGATGATTTCGCTCGTCTTCTTCACGATTTTCTTCGAAAGTCTTCCAGGAACTTTGCTAAACCTCTGTAGAGAGGTGAACATCTTGAGGTCGTTAACAGTTGCATCTTCTAGGAGGGAGAAGAGAACCAGAACTGCATGTAGCAGAACACTATCCAAGGAGCTAGGAGGCGGACTTTCTCCTTCTTCTGCCATGGGAGAGTTTCGATTGGCAATATAAATGGCACGTAAGAAAAATATTTTAATCGCTCCTGCTACTGATTTTTATTATTTATACTGATTCATAGAGAAAACAATTTGTGGCGCAAAAAAAAACAATATTGTATATAGAACAACATTATGATTTGCAATTGTGAAAGTGATTTTGACAAGCGTGTTAACGTAAATTACTTGTCGATAATTTTGAATCAAATTGGGCATCTAAAATAGAAAAAGCTATCAGAAATCGGACGTAATTGGTGGCGGGGTTTTAAATTTAAAATCAACCTGGTCGGCCGTTCTAATTTATGGATAGATATATATATATATATGAAATATTCATATCGCGTGCTTAAAAGTTTTAGTTCATATTTTTCTAACGTCATGCATTATTGTTCAACCATCCCTGCAGTCCGCAACAAGTTTAGATGTTCATGTTCGAAGCAAACAGGAGAACGACAAGAAGAACGCTCAATTTGTGGGCAACTGATTGAGAGTAGTTGTGTTCAGAGTCAGTCTCGTCTCCGTCTGTCTCGTCCCCGTCTGTCTCGTCTCCGTCTGTCTCGTCTCCATCTGTCTCGTCTCCGTCTGTCTCGTCTCCATCTGTCTCGTCTCCGTCTGCAAGTAAATAATTTACTAAATTCAGTAAAATATAACGCAGGCAATAACAGCTAATATTGCAATTGGAGCTAAAATGTTTAAAAACATCTGAGCTATAACTACAACTATAAGGTCATGCATGGAGCAGAGTATAACAATAAGCTAAATTAAACGGCTTAGGTCGCTTAACTCGCAGCTGACAGTGTGATGCACAACTTTCTACAGTACGAACATTTCATTTGTCATTTGCTTCATTGTGTAACACAACAATACTTTCAACACTACTATATAACAAATAATTTGAGATCATGAAAACGGTGTAGTTACATTGAAGCGTCGAGTGAAGTGTGAACTCCTTTTCCCTAATAAGAGCATTTTTACTTTTTGCATGAACCGGGATAAATATAATTTTACACAGAATACATTGTAACCATGCGACTCATTAATATATATACTCCAATCCGGATTTTCAGAACAACGAGGGAATGAAACCCGGATAACTAAAATGAACTTACTCTCTGTGCAGTCACTTTCAGCTAATCCCAATCCTACGCCCACGTGAGTTCCTACTGGACAAGGTGTGCAGGCAGTATCGCCGGCGTCTGCACTCCAATGATCTGCAGGACACTCTTGACAATCAGCATCAGCATCCAAGTAATGGCCCCAATAGCATGAATCTGAAAATTTGGAATTTGTAATGGTTTAACATAATATGTTAAAGCATAAAAATATATGCGGAAAAGTAATATGAAACGGTATAAATTCTAAAACCGAACCAACCCAAACTCGATTGAGAACAAAAACCTTCATTATAGCATATGGTATGTACTATTTTACTATGTATACCCAGACCCTGTACTTATATGATAGCCATGATCTAGTATATAATCATACTTCATAGTATACATGTATAGTATTCAATCCCGTTCATGATTAGAAATGACTTGATTTGTAATATTCTCATTTTATAGCTCACCTCACTGCCAGTGACTGTTACTTGCACACAGTGGGATGAGAGTAAATCAAACAGTTTGGTAGATGACTTTACAAATTCCTATGTTCTCCAGGGCTGGATTGAATCATTATTCAATTTAACCTCACATTCTTATAGAATTATATAGCAATGTAGTAGACTTATTAAATTGCAGTAAACCAAATTCTGCAAGAATAGCTATTATATCGCAAAAATGTTCCGCTGCAAGTAGCCTTGTCATTGTTCCAGAATTACAAAGCAACACTGGCATAAAGACTGACACGGTTGACACTGTCCTATAATTTGTCTGCTCCTAGTTTGGCCAACCAAGCAGTTTGGTTCTGCTCTACGGATCAGAGGCCTTAAAGATAAACGTCCAAACAAGTCAACATTTTTATTTGCCTTATTTCCTTGAAAATTCAGGCTTGCTTGGCATACAAATTGCTCAATTAAGCAATTACAATAAATCGGGATATTGCTATGAAAAGGAGACCCTATATTACTGGTAGTTCTTAAGCTTCACTCCCACACCACCCCACCACCCCCACCCCACCCCACTCCTCCACCACCACCCCACACCACCCTAGTCCACAACCACCCCACCCCACTCCTCCACCCCCACCCCAATCCCACACCTACCCCACACCTTTATAGGTACCTATAATACCAAATTTACAATATCTACCTAGATGGTAACCGACAAACACGCTCTGCCATGAGTTAAATCTCAGTAGTCCAATCTCTTGTGTCCAGAAATTTCTCCAGTTTGGGTAATCACATGTATCGTCTGTGAGGAGTACGTTGATCACTTCCACTCCGTTGACCTGGACTTTAAAAGACGGATTTGCTCCTGTGGTCGCAAAAATACTCCACAATTTCTCAGCTTCAGTCGGCATGTTCTCGGGAAATGTGCTCTCTTTGTTCTTGCAATGTTTTATCAAGTAATTATCTGGTCCACTACCACTACCAGCTGAAGGAAAGTTCACGGTTAACCCCCCTTGCCTTTCTTTTTCCACAAAGAAATCCACGTCGAGTGACTGAGATGCGTCGTCGTCGTTATTGTCAGTTTTGAACTGTATTGCAGTTCTCTCGAAACTGTGAGGAATTCCTGATTGCTGTTGTGACCCCTCATATGCATCATTTAGTTCGACTGTTTTCCATTGTATCTCTGTAAAAATTAATCTGTTTAGTTGATTTAGGTAGGGACTCATGGAACAGACTACTCACCGTCAGAACTCTTTAAAAGACAAAAGTACGTGCGAGTACACAATTATACAATTGTTTGAATCTGTTTTAAATCAGAGACCAAGAAACTCAAGTTAAGACTCAGGGCCTTAGATACTGAGTAAAATTTGTTACCTGATTTCACTGTGTCGAGTGATGCGACAATAAGAATTACTGCTATTGGATAGATCATCTCAACTTCTTTGCCAAAATCTACAATATTGAGTCAATTTCAGAAAAAAATTAAAATAATTCTGGTTAAAATTGTATCATAAGAAGATAAGAGTGAATCATAGAAAAGAATTTGCAATCAAATACCTTATCGGACCTTATTTGGACGGACATTAATTGAACGCTGGAGGCCTAAACGTTCATTTTAATGTCCGTTCAAATAAAGTCCGTTCATTTAAGGTCCGTCCAAGTTAAAGTCCGTTGAATTTTTTTCAAAAATTTTTCCACATCGAACTTTTTGTCCAGAATATGACAACTATGAGAACTTTATTGTGCCGTAAGTTAACGACAGAAAGGTCCTCCTTGGTCTGCCGGAGGCACAGAAAACTCTACTAGTATATGATGTAAGATGTTTTCGAGGGTCACTTGCATGGCGGAAAAAGTCAACAAAATTATGGCACTCAACAACGTATAGTTCATAACACACATAACCCCGGCATGCGCAGGGATTATATTTCAATTTTTTCCGCGACGCGCGGAAAAAAGTTATAATAATTTCGAGTGCGAAGCACGAGGGATTATTATAAAGATAACCCGACGTGCTTTAGCACGAGGGGTTATTTTAATATAACTTAAGCGTGCCGGTGTTATGTGTTATAAACCCCTCCGGGTTAGTGCTAAGACCAACAAACTTGACATTTTACTCTTAATTCTAGCTACCTTACTCGGTTATATTATAGCGGGTTAATTTATGACTGGGAAAATTAATGACCGGGAAAAATATGGCGGACTTTCCCAAAACCCGCCAAATTATCCCGGTCATGTATTTACCGGTGGCCGACCTTTCAAGTTTTTTTCAGAGGTCAACAAATTTTCAACCGAAATTTCTGTTTTTGTTACTTGTTAAAGAAGTTCCCAGAAGTTATTTCAATTTACGGTTATTGATATTACTCAGAAATAGAAAAAAAGACACGTCTATTTAAAGGAAAATAAATCTAAGCAATAATAAGTCAAATCTTCATTAAAGCGTATTCTCATTCTCATTATCGCTAATGTCCCCGCCATTATCATTATTGATATCCCCCTGAGCTGCTGACCGTCAAATTCGAAGTTGTATTGTTGTCTTAACAAGACTTTCATTTTGTCCGCTAATGGGGCTACTGCTCTGAAGGTCAGCCGGAGCTTAATTTCCTGCCCACCGCTTGGTATTGGGGAACGTCTTGGCTTTGCATCTTCAACTGCTCCAGTAATCAATCCACCGTGGACCATGAAATAGTGGCACAGTTTACTCACTTCTAGCGGGATGTGTTCTTTAGTCTACACACTTACGAATTGTATAATTAAGTTTCGATTGATTACATCAATCAGATGCTGTAAAAATCTCTTTGGGTTGCGTTCGGGTCGATACCTAGTATTTCGGGGTAAGGGACAAGGGTGGTAGTTATTACTTATTGAACAAGCTGAAGTTTATTGAATCTTCATTGCCGAGTACAGCTGCCTTTGGCTAGTTCTTCTTAATCTATTACAATTGTAAATGAATGGGAAAAGCGAGCGACCGATTTCATTCTCGGTATCATTTTGCATTTGAGAACGGTCAATCAAAGTAATATCATTTCCTTTTGTTTGGGAAAGAGAGACACTGACAGCGGTCCACTCTACCCATGATTATGGGTTTTGGTCAAATATCATTTCTTTTTGATTATAATGTCAGGGTACTTTATAAAGTCGAGATATAAACTGATATCTTCATTAATAAGGAGGAAGTTTCAACGATTTCGAAATTTTTCCTTTAAAAACATTTTCTTGTGTTTAGGTAAGCATATCGGTCGATCACTGACTGAATATGCCACTTAATACTCATTCAAGTTGGCATTAAATTCATATATAATGACATTAAACCATAGTTGGTTCGTGCGTCAATTTTTCGGGAAAAGTACGTAAAGTGCGTTTGAATTATTTCGTGCGTTTAAAGTGCAGTTAAGTACATTTACCGGTGAATTCACCGTTTTACGTTTTTTTCGTACGTTAAGTGCGTTATGTTTTAAAAGTACGTTCAGTGCGCACGAACCAACTATGCATTAAACTGTCGTGGCAAAGCAGAATTTGTTGGAAATCACGAATGAGCAAAATTCTCACCTTTCGCACGTGCAAACTTTGAGCAGACGTTGAGTGCGCATCCAATATTGAATCGCCGTAAATTTTTGCATGTAATTGTTTTATATAATTCTTCAAAAAAGCACAAACTTCAATGACGAATATCTTTATGAAGGAGCAAGCTAGAAAAACTTTCCGGTAGATTTTCAGAATGCTTGAACAATTATCTAAGGTAAATTTTTCCTCAGATTTTGAATAAAATTACTTCTTAATGGTTTAAAATTAATTTTAAAAGTTATTACTTTGTCAAAAATCAAGTTTTAAAAACGGTTAACTTGATGACGTCATCAAGGGGTGTTAATGACGTCAAATAATTTGTTTATACAATGTAAACTAAAGTATAAACAATTATTTGCAAGACCTGTGGTCGGAAATGGCTGTATCTTTTATACTTTTGAATCTATGGACACCTAAAAACAGGCTACAATTGACTGGCAAAGCGTCTATCCCTGAATATATCACAGTGCTGGCAAGCACGAGCGGTGTCTTTATTTGGGGTATACTATGTACCCCTTTACTATTGTACCCCCTTTACTATTATACCCCCTTTGGTACACATTGGAAGCCTCTTTAGTGCACGAGAAGCGTGCACTCCGGCCGGAGGCGGCGGCCGAAGGCCGCCGCCTCCGGCAGGAGTTTTTCAGGCATTAAGACTCATCAGAAGTCGTTCAGCAGATTTATTTTTAGTTCAAAACATTCTAATTTGATGTCAAAGATGACAGGAATAAAAAATAGTTATGTTGAGATTTTTAAGAAATTTGCATAAAATACTCGCCAGCACTGTTATACGAAATTCGGTAAAAAACCCAAAATCGCCATATTCAGGTGCCTTAAAAACCATGTTAAAATTGAGTTAAGGAGTTAGAGATGTGAATTTTTCAGGGCGTCTAGACGTTGACCAAATCGACTGCAAAAAAAGTTTCAGGTTTCAGGAGCATCGGGAAGTGGGTTTTCTAGAACCCCTGTTTTACGACAGATTGTCGTGATATCTATCTATATATATATTCAGGGATAGACGCTTTGCCAGTCAATTGTAGCCCGTATTTAATTGTCCATAGATTCAAAAGTATAAAAGATACAGCCATTTCCGACCACAGGTCTTGAAAATAATTGTTTACACTTTAGTTTACATTGTATAAACAAATTATTTGACGTCATAAACACCCCTTGATGACGTCATCAAGTTAACCGTTTTTAAAACTTGATTTTTGACAAAGTAATAACTTTTAAAAATGATTTTACACCATTAAAAAGTAATCGTATTTAAAATCTGAGGGAATTTTTATCTTAGATAATTGTTCAAGCATTCTGAAAATCTACAGGAAAGTTTTTCTAGCTTGTTCCTTCATAAAGATATTCGTCATTGAAGTTTGTGTTTTTTTGAAGAATTATTTTATGAAAACGTCAATTTTGCGATTTAGTATTCTCTGGTGTTGGGCCATGCCTTGGGTTGTGGAGCTCAGTTCTGCTTCCTATAGGTATAAATTGTGCATTAGGCTAGTTTGAAAATCGAAAAATTGCACACGTGGGGACACGCCCAAATTGATAGAAAATCGCTAAAATCACTGAAAATTGCTGTTTTCGTCATTTTCTGTCAACTTTAGAGTGCCGTTGTGATTACAGTTCTTCTTGAAATACTTTGAAACTTTGCATGCTTATCAAACTATATATAAAACAAGGACATGCAAAAATTTACGGCATTTCAATATTGGATGCGCACGCAACGTCCGCTCAAAGTTTGCATGTGCGAAAGGTGAGAATTTTGCTGATTCGTGATTTCCAACAAATTCTGCTTTGCCACGACAGTTTAATGTCATTATATATGAATTTAATGCCAACTTGAATGAGTATTAAGTGGCATATTCAGTCAGTGATCGACCGATATGCTTACCTAAACACAAGAAAATGTTTTTAAAGGAAAAATTTCGAAATCGTTGAAACTTCCTCCTTATTAATAAAGATATCAGTTTATATTTCGACTTTATAAAGTACCCTGACATTATAATCAAATAATCAAAAAGAGATGATATTTGACCAAAACCCATAATCATGGGTAGAGTGGACCGCTGCCAGTGTCTCTCTTTCCCAAACAAAAGAAATGATATTAATTTGATTGACCGTTCTCAAATGCAAAATGATACCGAGAATGAAATCGGTAGCTCGCTTTTCCCATTCATTTACAATTGTAATAGATTAAGAAGAACTACCCAAAGGCAGCTGTATACTCGGCAATGAAGATTCAATAAACTTCAGCTAATTCAATAAGTAATAACTACCACCCTTGCCCCGAAATACTAGGTATCGACCCGAACGCAACCCAAAGAGATTTTTACAGCATCTGATTGATGTAATCAATCGAAACTTATTACAATTCGTAAGCCGTGAATGAATGGGAAAAGCGAGCGACCGATTTCATTCTCGGTATCATTTTGCATTTGAGAACGGTCAATCAAATTAATATCATTTCCTTTTGTTTGGGAAAGAGAGACACTGGCAGCAGTCCACTCTACCCATGATTATGGGTTTTGGTCAAATATATATACATAATATATATGTATGTATCACGACAATCTATCGTAAAACAGGGGTTCTAGAAAACCCATTTCCCGATGATCCTGAAACCTGAAACTTTTTTTGCAGTCGATTTGGTCAACGTCTAGACGCCCTGAAAAATTTCAGATCTCTAACTCAATTTTAACATGGTTTTTAAGGCACCTGAATATGGCGATTTTGGGTTTTTTACCGAATTTCGTATAACAGTGCTGGCGAGTATTTTATGCAAATTTCTTAAAAATCTCAACATAACTATTTTTTATTCCTGTCATCTTTGACATCAAATTAGAATGTTTTGAACTAACAAAAAATCTGCTGAACGACTTCCGATGAGTC